AAAATTTTAAATTTTCCTTAAAAAACAGAAAAATTTCGTTTTGATCAGATTTCGTTTTAATCTGTGACAATAATTAAAGAATTGGTTATCTCTGACATGCCTCTATCTAACGCTTTAGTACAAAATGCAGCTACAGAAAATATTATTGTAACAAATAATAAAATTTTAGAGTGTCTGTGAGTATATAATACTACAAATAATTTAATAGTTTATCAAAATTTAATAGCTGAAATAGAGAACTTTAAAAAGGTTCTTGAGGTTGAAAACAAAAAGATTAGAAAACTAAAACAGCACGACCCAATGTAAAAGTATGAAAAAAAGCTCAACTCTTAAAAAAGCAACAGGTAGTCGAAAAATATGATTCACCTGGGCATTTTCCTTTGCTATTCCAGTACCCACATTTGTATGACCACATTCAAAAATATATCAAATTCGGATCTGCTAATGCAAAAAGATGAAAAGAATTTGTTAAAGTTCGAACAATCAACCATCTATGTGAAGAACTCAAATTAAAGTATAATGAATACCTTTCTCATACTGCTTTAACTAATTATACTGCCCAAATTTTATAGTGGTAAAAACTCATCACTATCTAGCAAATGTTCAGGTATAAAATCAAACCTTTATAAAAAAAAATCATAAGTATTGTTGCAGCTGATGATAAAATTAACTGATGCTAAAATTTGAGCTTAGTTCTATATGAAGTTTAAAATTTTTTGGGTGTCTTTGTCAGTTTTTTTTTAATTTAGGTTAAAATTTAAGGTTAGAGTTAATAATTAAAGAGTATATGTAAATTTTATTGAGATCTAAATTTTAGTATAAGCTGATTTTAGTATCAGCCATGACAAGAAAATTATTATTGATAATTTATAATATATGAGGTAGGTACTAGAGTTGCTGGTAAAACTAAATTGTGCTGGTGAAACTGGTGACTATCTAAAATCTGATTGGCTATTGAATGCAATAGCTAATCAGATTTTAGATAGTCACCAGTTTCACCAAGTTTCACCAAGTTTCACCAGTTTCACCAGCAACTCTAGTAGGTACTAAGAAAAAGAATAAAATTAACAAAATGTAAATATTGCAAATTTTAAATGGCCATCCTGTAAATTTTATTAATGCAACAAGAGATAGGAATCAGTTATATAATTTAGTTGACTAAATTAACTAAATATAGTAATTTATATATGTATTAATTTTTTAGTTAACTAAATTGATTCTTATCTCTAAACACAATATTTCTTATATAAATGATGTTTCTGAGTTAATTTTGGCTCAAAAATTTTTTTGAAAAAAATTGTTGATTTTGTTTCTTTTCTCAGAGATCACTAAAGCCATATATCTACATAATATTTGAATTTTAATTATAATTAGGATAAGGGTTAATTTATTGTTAAAGTAAAAGCAGATATATAAGTAAAGTTCCCTTTCTGCCATTTTTTATTAATATACTAAGACAGATTTAGACTGCCATTTTTCATATTTTTTCATATTTTTTTGATTTTTTGATTTCTTTGGCTAAACAAATTTTATAATTTTGATTGGTGATCTACTTAGATAAAGTTATATTGGTACAAGGCTTTAGCAGATTCTTTTTCGCAGCATCTAACCATATAATTTTGTATAGTGTAATGAAAAAATTAATTTTGTCAAATTAATTTAAATGCTTAAATTGCATCAGTTTCAAGAAATGAAAAGACAGAGCACCTGGATATTCATTACTGCTTTGCCTCAGTAAAGACAGCAAAGTAATTTGCTACTTTATATCTAATGCATTCTGTAATAATCTCACAAAATGACAAAGCAAAGTTCAATCTTGAAATCTTAGCAGTAGGAAAAATTTTAAGTTGTTCAAAGCAATATAGAGCCTTATCAATTCCAGATCAAAACTTTCCAGTAGGGGCATAGCAAAAACTTATTCTACCTGTTTATCTATGCATGGACCCAGATGATACCAACAATACACTTTGTAATAGACAACTTTACATATTTGTGCCCTCCAATACAGAATTGATTCGAGCTCAATGACTTATGTAAATGATCTAGACTCTCTGGTTCAAGACTGCTGATTCGACAATGCCCTTAAAACAAATAATCAAATCTGACCAATCTGGGTCTTACTTGTTGATAGGGCCTAGATGAGAATCCACGATATCTAAAAAATATAACACAATATTGTAAGATATTTAAAGCTTTAATTTTGACTATCTAACAGTTAAAATATATGCTCTGAATATTCTGCTTACAACCCTGTTGAGCATGGCATGACATCACTTTCTAAAAAGCTTGTGGTGATAGTTTTACCAATAGACAAATATAATAAAAACAATTTTATTAGTAAAATAAATTTTGTAGATAATTTACAAAGTCTTTATAAAATTTAATAATTATTAGAATTACATTTAAACTTACAAGATCAAATAATCATCCAGAGCTTGCTAAAAATATTTTTGCTATGTAGAAAATACACTATGTGACTTGTGGAGTCATGATCCAATATTTGGAAAGCTTATTGCCACATTCTACAGATAAAATTATTAATCCATTTAGGTAGAAATGGCAAATATTGTTTATATAATTAAAACAGTTAATATAACTATTCAAACTTTAATCATCACTTATTTTAATTCAGTGAAAAATTTTTTTCTTTTTTTTTATTTACTATCTTTATGCTTAGAAATATTATATTCAGTTTTAACTCTCCTCAACAATCACTTGTACCAAAATTACAGCTAACAAAAACAGAAACTTGTTGAAGAAAAGTAGAAGAGACAACTACAAATAATAGTTTTTACAGAGATTAAGATTTTCTTTTTTCTTCCAGACTCCTCTGTATATTCAGCATGTAAGTTAAAAGCATTTCTGCACAAGATAACTGGCAAGAAGGTATTGCCCTTATACAGAAAATTTTAATTGAAGCTTTGCTTCTGCTGATGAAGTTAAAAATAGTTGGTTTAAGGAGAACAACAAGTGAGTTTTCAATACACTCTTTACTGAAGTTTAAGAATACCTACAAACTAAAACTCTTTACAAAGCTCTACTCTTTGTTCTTTCGAAATTTTTGCTAAAAAGTGGGAAAAACAGCATACTTCCATTGAAGGATCGACAACAACAATTACTGCTGAAAAAGAAAAGTCATATACAGGAGTACATGTCTACTTTGGGATGAATAACATCTGATCAGTTACTTTAAAAGGTTATGGTATTTACACTGAGATCCACAGAAGCTGAAAAAGTGTAAATCACTTAACTTTGCCCAAAAACAAGTACTAGTACAAGAATTTGTTACAGAATACCACAATGAACCTGGTGTGACCCAAGAGAAATTTTGGACTTGGCATTTACTCAAGAATAGAATTTTACATATCACAATATAGATAATAAGTAACTAGCACAGAGTTTAGACTAGATTATTTAGTAGTCTATATAATTTTTATAATCTGACATGGGTTTAATAATGCTATCTTTGTTTTTTTCTTTTATTTTGTTTTTCTTTTATATGTTTTTTAGTTTTATTTGTTTAGGTAGATCGAATTTGGATGCTGAAGTATCACTCCTTTTTTCTTTGCTCTTTGTTCTGTGTTTGTATTTCGTAGAAAAGATGATACTAATATAGTATATAGCACTGGCCAATAATCAAAGGATTCATGCCTCTAGAAAGTTAGAGGCCCAGAGGGAGGCAAACAGCCACTAGGTGATATCGTACCTGGGCTTTAAGCCGAATGAGTTACTAGTTGTGGTTAAAGAAGGATTAACTATAGTTAAAATTCTTTTAATTTTGCTTGGTTACTATTTAATAAAACAGTAGTAAGATATTCTGAAATATAAAAAAAAGAAATATTATATTTCCAAAATTTGATGACGACATTATAGAATCTGTTTCTTGAAAATGGATGGAAGAACATTTGAGAATATGCAAATATTTTCTAGACATTAAAAAATGTAATAACTTAGCTTGTTGTTCTCCTAAGTGTTTGAATAAAGCAGACATTCTACTTGCTAAAAACAGAGAATTTCTTTCTTCTGTAATAAAAGGCAGTGATGGGTATTATTTAAATTCTATACACATACTTGAATATTATGATAAACAAAATTATCTGAATATAACAAACATTGTTTATCTATTATCACTGTGGATAATTATTCTCAGCACTGCAGTTTAACATACAACAAATATTTTTCCTCACTATCTATGGTTTCTAAATATGAAAAAAATTAATATCCCAAATAGTATAAATGACTAAAAAAGTCTTTGTCAACAAATATGACTAAAACAACTCAAAAAATGTAGTTGGCCAAGAAAAAATAGCATCAAGGTGCAAATGCCAGAAAAAAAGCAAAAGACAAAAAATAATTTATGATAAATAAATCTTATTTTTATTAAAAAATTTTCTTTATTTGTCAAGATTATTTTTATTTTGACTAAAATTGAAATCTAAAAATAAAATTTAAATAAAATAATTTACTTAAGTCTAATTTTTTTAATAAAATTAATCATAAGTATGCATTGTAAAAATGTACCTACTTTAAGAAACAAATATGAATCATGATATTACTTTTGATACCTAGAATTGGCTTTTTTTAATTTCTGATTTAAATATCCATTTTGCTAATATCTTCTATATTTGTAATATTTGCAGATTGTTGAAAATATCATATGCTTTATGGTGGTCAATCTCAACTCTGATTCTATTTAGATAACAATCCATTTTTGCTTTTTTTGGTATTAAGGTGAGGCCTTGCTCGTATCTTTATTAATAATTGTCACAGATTAAAATGAAATCTGATCAAAACGAAATTTTTCTGTTTTTTAAGAAAATTTTTTGGGTGACATTTTTTGGAGTTCTTTTTAGTATTAGGGGTAGGGTTTAGGGTTAGGTTTATTAATAAATGAGTATATGTGGGTTTTATAGGCTTTAAGGGTGGGTATGAGAGGTCCCCAGTTTCATTTTGATCAGATTTCATTTTAATCTGCGACAATAATTTTTGAAATAGCAACAATGTAGATTACTACAACAATATAGAGATTTACAGAGTAGCTACTATTTGTACTAGTACAAATAAAAATAAAAATTATATGCAAGAATAAAAGCTCAGACAGAGAAAAATTTATCAGCGACCTAAACCTACTAGAGTGGTCAAAGACTCACCTAGGTATCCATTTTTGCAAATTTGTGATAAAAAATAATTGTCTTATATTTGTTACTTTTAATAAATAATTGTTATATATTTATGAATATTATAGTATGCAAACACTAAGTAAAATAAAAAATAATACTCTCTTTAATATTAAGTACTCTTTCGCTAAAAAGTGATAATAGTCTGATTAATATCTTGAATTAGATTGAACACCTTACTTAGTCCAGATCTGATATAAATAATATAAGGCTTAATTTCATATTGTACATACTGAAGTAGAAAGTCTTGTCATAAATAAATATTTGTTTTTTTTGTAATA